AATGGTCATGGCCGAGATTTTGTGCCTGATACCCGGTTTAGTCATGGACCGAACTGCTAGTGATGGGCACGGCAAGCCGCGGGGCTTGAACAGGGAAGTTATTGGCGGAAAAGCAACGTGCTTTGTCAACGAGAGTAGCGCCGTACTTTTATTTTTTCTGTCCAATGAATGCGTTCAGCGCTCAGGAGACCCGTGGCGTTTGGCGTGGAGAGGTTAGGGGTTGATAGGGTCAACGACATGTTGGAGCACGGCGGCAGATCTTTGAATTTTAAATGGAAGCGTGCAAATTACGACGAGAGCGTCCAGCTGGCGCGCCTGGCGGGGGCGCGGGGCCCGCGCGGAACATGTTAATATGCAAAGGCGCCGACGCCAAATATAGATGCGCGTGCCAGTCTGACGCGAAGCAACGGGTAAACGGGCGAGGAGGTACTCATCCAGCAACTGGCGAGGTTCATGGTCAACAGCGTTCGCGGCGGCAGAGGAGTTAGCTTAAAGTGTCTGGGGCAACGTAGGCGCGTGGGGGTTGACTAGAGGAGGAAGAACGAGGATACTCGATATTTACCCGGTTTTGGCATGGCTAGTGAGGCACGTGAATCGGGGTGATCGTGCGGGGTGCTCATTCAGAGCCGACGAACGAAGCGCGAACAATTCCCCAAGAGCAGAAGATGAGGACATGGGGGTCACGGGCGAGATTGATTTACAAATGGGGCCGCGCAATGGTGGAGTCAGAATGGGCCGGGAGAGACGATGGGATTAGAAAATTCACGTTGCCGGGCGAGTAAGGGCTAATCTGGAGGAGCAAGTGCGCCCGACTTGTGTGCCCGGGACCACGGCGCGGGCAGAATCATGGAACGCAGATCGGTCAGCGAGATCCGAGGTCTAGAAGGAGAGAGTTTCGAGGTGGAACCAAACGGAGTGTAGCAGCGTTTGCCGATCTCGTTGTGGGTGACGCACAGCTTAAAACAAATAAGTACAGCCAGCCAGACATGAGCGTTGGTTAAAGGCGCCGGGCGCCTGCTCAGCTCGTGGTGGCAGTTGGGCAGTTGCGCCCGTTGCGAGAAAAGAGTTCAGTTATGCATTATCTTCGATATTCGAAAACCTACGCGTGGGGCGATGTTTCAGGAACGGAGTTAGAGCATGGAATGACGGTCGAAGCCAGGGCGAAGGAGATGGAGCAGTTCAACCAACGCGGAGTCCATGACAAAGGGTCAAGAAGTAGTGTGCTGGATAGTGAAAAGCAAATCGCCCATTGGAACGATGTGGGTCGACGTTCGCGCGGCGGGCGAGGCGAATCCCCTTTGCCGATCCACGGGTCATCAGCCCAGCAGGGTCGAGACGACCCAAAGAACAACATCTTCGCTGCTACTCCACCGCAAGAGGCCTGGCAACATATTTGGCGCAGGATTGATCAGACATCCAGTTTGCAGTCAAGGCGCCAGCCAGATGCATGTCGCGCTCGACGAGAGGATCATGTAGCAACCGAATTAATTAGGAGGGCATCTGGAGAGCCATCGTCGGTAAACTTACATACGTTTGCATGTTTCTAGAGATGCCTGGGAAGTTAACCATCTGCACTAATTCCGAAGTTCTCGGTGCAATAAGTCTTGCAAGTCTACGAACGGGGAAGTGCTATGTGGTGTAGAGTTGTCATCTCGAGAGGCAGAGTGCGATGGGATGGCGAAAGGAGTCTCAGTCGGGTTCGAAATCCAGGGGTTTAGAAATATCACCACAGTTAACACTCGAGAGTGATGGCAGGGCTGCCGTGGCCATTGCAGTTGGGAAACGGTTATGGGAATTTCGACGCAGCGGTTTGCTGAGTGTGAGTCCAATAAAGGTGGGAAATGGAGGCGTTGAAGTAGTAAAGGTTCACGCTGACGAGAATCTGGTCTGGCGCTAACCAAATATGTTAGCAGCGAAATCTCGAGCAACCATGTGCGCAACGCGAAGCAAGTCTCACTTGAGGGAATGCGTCGGTTAGCAACCGCTACCGACTTTTAATATCTGCGGCCCTTGCACCGAGCGATTCCTGCAATCGCGTCGTGCGAACGAAGTCCACGTCCCAATTTTCTCTACCTGCGCTTCCGCTTGAATTATTTGGATGACGATGGCGAACGAGAATTCAGACCCGCCCGCTGCCGTGCTACTGAAGGATGAGCTGGTTAACGCGGAAGGGCAGACTGGCGTCGTCAGCGAATTTGAAGTTATGAGCCGCTTGGAGGCGCCGCCAGTAGCGGAGGAGGGGCCCGGAATTTCCACCGCCCGCGGCGCAGGTGTTTGGGGCGTTTCGTGACGTTATGGGTTGGCAACCCCGTGGTGCTCGGGTTCCAATTCATTTACCAGGAGTCGTGCAGAAATTGCGGTGGGATCAGCGTTGGCGCGACTGCAGTTAGGTTTGCGGCCTAAGAATTCGCCGAGGTCTTCGTCGAGGTAACCGATGGCCTAGTTATCTTGTTTCGCATTATCGCGCGCCCGCGCAGCTCTCGAGGGGCGAGTTATGCCGCGACAGGGGTGCGCCCGAGGTAGCCTGGTACCAGGCCGCGCTCGAAGCCGAGTTATCGAGGGGCGACCGCGCCATCGACTCGCGCCCGTTCGCCTTCCCGTTGAGTCGACCGGGGGTCGTGCACATGGGGCCCGGCTGAGACGGGGGCCGCGTGCTGGCAGGCGCGGTTGCCTGCGGTGGACGTCGACCTGTGGTTGAAGGGAGGTCGCCGGCTTGCTGGCCCCAGCTCGGGCGACGATTTGATGAGAATGGGCCGAGGGGGCGGCGCCAATTTCCTTTGCCACCTCAGGCTCCCAGGCCGCTCATTCTAGGATGTCTTCGTCATGCCGGGTGGCGGTGTCGCGGCGTCCATCAAGATGAAGCGTGCAAAGAAGTCTGGTTGCTGGGTGGCCGACGAGGAGTCCGTGGGGGGCACTGCTGAGAAGGACTTTCTGCAAGCCGCAGGACGCGGTTAACCTTAAGTCGGGCTTGTCCCTGTACAGGAGGAATATTCAAAAATAGTCAAAGATAATCTGGGGGCTATTGTTTGATTATTTGTTTGCCCATTTGGGAATATTGTTGATTATCCGTAAGGGCTTCGCCCCCTGCCGCTGGCCCCCTCTCTCGGAGAATGGGCCATGGAAGAGCTAAGTCATGAGGCTTTGGCGCTGTCGTGCAGCAGTATCGGAACTTCATGCGAGGCCGATTCGCAATCGGCAAAACCAACTGATCACAAGAGGGGTTACCACACAGGGCGATTGGTAAGACGTGTATGGTTTACGAGCTTGGTTACCACACCTTGGGATTAAAGGGCCGAGGGAGTACTCGCAGTTTGGGTTACCACGCCTTGCGATGGATGTGCGTGAGGGGTGGCACCGAATTTCAGAAATGTGGCAAATCCCCTGTGTTTTTGGACCCTGACCCCGCGGATCTGCGTGAGGGGTGGCACCGAATTTCAGAAATGTGGCAAATCCCATGTGTTTTTGGACCCTGACCCCGCGGATCTGCGTGAGGGGTGGCACCGAATTTCAGACATGTGGCAAATCCCATGTGTTTTTGGACCCTGACCCCGCGGATCTGCTTGAGGGGTGGCGCCGAATTTCAGAAATGTGGCAAATCCTCTGTGTTTTTGGACCCTGACCCCGCGGATCTGCGTGAGGGGTGGCACCGAATTTCAGAAATGTAGCAAATCCTGTGTGTTTGGGCCCTGACCCCGCGGATCTGCGTGACGGGTGGCACCGAATTTTCAGAAATGTGGCAAATCCTCTGTGTTTTTGGACCCTGGCCCCGCGGATCTGCGTGAGGGGTGGCACCGAATTTCAGAAATGTAGCAAATCCTGTGTGTTTTTGGACCCTGACCCCGCGGATCTGCGTGAGTGGTGGCACCGAATTTCAGAAATGTGGCAAATCCCATGTGTTTTTGGACCCTGACCCCGCGGATCTGCGTGAGGGGTGTCGAGAGCCCCCCCAGCAATTCAGACAATGCGCCCAGGAGACGCTAAAAATCCCGTTTGGGCCTGCCCCCCCCCTCGCGCGGTCAATCAACTAGTTACAGTAACCAGCAAGAAGTCAACTAGTTACAGTAACCAGCAAGAAGCAGAACTGTAACACTGGAAACTACAAACTACAACTGGTACAGGAAACTGCGAATCACGCGCCTCGCAGCCTGGTGGCCCCACGAGGGGGCCGGCGGATTTATCATTCAAAATCCCCCCTGTAGGGGGAAAGGCCCGATTTGAGGTTAACTAGTTGCCGAGGTTCACATCCAACAGCGCTCCTGCCGATGTTAGGTGCGCAGGAGGCCGCGCCTCCGTGCCGCCCAGGAGTGTGCCTGGCAGGCGCCAGCGTTAGGCAGATGGTATGGCAGTCGACGTCTCCCCTGCTGCTTCAATCGTTGCCCAGAGTCCTGCTACTGAGGATCGTATGCGTGAGTTGGGCGTTTTAGAGCACTTCGCGCTCATTTAGGATAGTGTTTGGCAAGTTTAGGGGGTCCCTGCTTGCTTGCGCCGAATCTTAAGCTGCCTCTTGCCTGTGCCGTTGGACACGTTCGCAACTAATGCTCATGTATAACATTATATATATACATATCGGTATGAGTTCTCGTTCCATTAGATTGGGGACCTGGCCGTTACGCCACAAGCGGGCAGTATGCTTGAGTTCGCTCTTGCCCAGCCTTTCGAAATTAGTACATCCCCGTCTGCACTTTCGGCTTGTCAGCCGAGGGGGGGTATATATTATGATATAACGATTGGGTCAGAAACTGGGTAAGCAAGTAGCTGTGCTGAGAGTCGAGCTGTCGTCGTTGCCGACGCCGCTTGGGTCATGTACCGATCAGTGGAGTGTGCGCGTGTCCAACATGTGAAAACCAGATCGTCGCTACGTTCCCGTGCAACTCCTCCCCCAGGGTTTGTAAGGCAGGAGGAGGAGGACGGGAGGACGTGTAGGTGATTCGTCAATCCCGCCCTGTGCTACTCTTCCCCCCGTCGCCCATCCAGAGGGTCGGCGGGGGGTCGGGGGGCAGGTGGCGAGTGCGCTGCCGCGGAGTCGGCCTCAGACGTCGAGATGATCACCGAAGGTGGCCGCCCTCCTCCTCCTCCTCCTCCTCCTCCTCCTCCTCCTCCTCTCTTTCCTCCTCCCCTCCCCTCCCTCCCCCATCCCTTCCTTCCCTCCCTCTTCCCGCCTCCCTTCGGCATCCTCGCCCGTCCTCTCGCGAGCACGGCCTCCTTCCTGGACGCACCGACACGCGTTGGGGCCGCAGCGCGCCGCCTGGAGACCCGCCCAGCCTGGGGTGGCCGCCTTTCCCTCCCCTCTCCGCGGACGCCCTGGGCATCTTGTCCTCCCACTCGCGCGGTGTGCAGTTCGCTGCCCAGCGCCCCTCGGCCGCTCGACCGGCCCGTGCGTTCGCCGGGCCCGCGGGCAGAACCGATGCCTCTGCGACCGGGCGGCGGTCGCTTGAGCTTGCGCTCTGGTGCCCCACGGTGTTCCAGCCGCCAGGGGTCAGATCCCGCGGGGCACGGGTCGTGGAGCAGAAGCGGTGCTCTTCGGGAAAGAAGGGGGCCAACCAAGATGTGGGGCCCTTTCATGCCTTTGTATGTGGGACGCCGTGGGTCGTGTTGGAGGTGTTTCGCAGAAAGCAACCAGCACCCCAGCACGTTGGGAGGCTGGGGTGCTCGTTGTTGTCAGGATTTCTCGACGGGTCCATTCTCTTCCATCTCCTTCCTCCTCCTCTTCCTCCTCCTTTGGTCTTGCCCAGTACGCTTGCCGCGCCAGGGCTGTATGACGCATGCAGTTTTTGACGAAACACTTATTCCGACTATTAGTCTTCCCTTCTCCCTGTTCCGTCTTTCATCATCGCCTGTCCTTCTTCCCGCTCTCTCCTTCGCATCCCCCTCTTCGAATGTGGCTTCCCTATCCCCCATCGAACGTGGCGGCCTCCTCTTCTCTCCTCCTTCTGCCGCCTTCTCCTCTCCCCCTCTGCTCGCCAATCCTGCCTCCGTCCTCCTCCCTTCTGCTCCCTCCTTCGTCCTCCTCCTCCTTCCTCCTCCTCTGGTTGTACGCTCTCCTATGCTCTGCTAGCTTTACGTGCGCGGCTCGCTTCTGCCTGCACCTAGTCCGTGTCGGTGCGTCCCGCTGCTCACTGACTGGCCGATGCTTCGTCGCCGCGGAAGACGACAACCTCCTTCTCCCCCCTCCTTTTTGTGCCGTCATCCCTCCCTCCTCCCTCCTCCCTCCTCCCTCCTCCGTCATCCTCCTTCCTGCCTCCTTCCTCCTCCTTTGTCGTCCTCCTCCGTTTTCCTCCTCCTTTGTACTCCTCTTCCTCCTCCTCCTCGTCGTCGTCGTCGTCGTCGTCGTCGTCGTCGCCGTCGTCGGCGGCGTCGTCGTCGTCGTCGTCGTCGTCGTCGTCGTCGTCGTCGTCGTCCCCCTCCTCCTCCTCCTCCTCCAGAAATCGCTCCGCAGACTTCGTCTGGGGTGCGTCCCGACCAGGATCTCGAGGGCGCGCCGAGGACCTCGAGCCTCGAAGTTCCGAGTTCGACACTCCTCTTCTACCACTGGTGGCTGCCCCCCCCCCCAGCCCCCCACCCCCCAGACTCCCAGACACCCGGGGGGCCAGGCGACGAGGGCGCCGCCGTGGAGGTGGCCTCGGACGTCGAGATGGCCCGCGACGGTGACCTCCCTCCTCCCTCCTCCCTCCTCGCTCCTCTCTCCCTCCCTCCTCCTCCCCTCCCTCCTCCCTCCTCCCTCCTCCCTCCTTCTTTTCCTCCTCCGTCTACCCCCGTCCTGACAGCTCTGTGGTTTTCTCACCTCAACTCGCGGTGTGGCTCGTGCAACTTGTTCAGCCTGGTAGGTATTTCGGAATGGTATTCGCAGGGTGCATTAGGGGTGAAAAGCGAGTACGTGTCTCGGTCATTGTCATCCCTCTTCCTCCTCCCTGAACTCTCTTCATTTATTTTTCTCCTCATCTTCTTCCCTTCCTCCTCCTCCTCCTCCTCTCCTCCTCCTCCTCCTCCTCCTCCTCCTCCTCCTCCTCCTCCTCCTCCCTCCTCCTCATCTCCTCCTCCCCCCTTCTTCCTCCTCCTGCTCCTCTTCCTTTTCCTCCTCCTTTCCTCCTCCTCCTCCTCCTCCTCCTCCTCCTCCTCCTCCTCCTCCTCCTCCTCCTCCCTCCTCCTCCCCCTCCCCCTCCCCCTCCCCCTCCTCCCTCTCCTGTGGGACCCAGGCGACGAGGAGGCAGCTGCCGCAGAGGCGCCATGCGACGCCGAGGTGGCCCCGGTGCCCGCCGGGGAGGGGGCGAGCGCCGGGGCCGAAGAGGACGCGCCTCCCCCTGGCGAGGCCGCGCTGAAGGAACCCGACCAGGGAGGTGGGGCTTAAAGGGCGCCGGGCGCTGAAGGAACCCGACCAGGGAGGTGGGGCTTAAAGGGCGCCGGGCGCTCGAGGCGGAGACCCCCCCCCCCCCCCCCCCTCTCGTCCGTGGATGATGATGAGATGTGAGGAGTCGAGGAGAGGAGGAGGAGGAGGAGGAGGAGGAGGAGGAGGAGGAGGAGGAGGAGGAGGAGGAGGAGGACAGAGGATGAGGAGGAGGATGAGGAGGAGGAACAGGAGGAGGAGGAGGAGGAGGAGGAGGAGGGCGGAAGAGTGATGATGAGGATGGCAAGGTGAGGAGGAGGGTGGCCCCGGCCCCCGCGGCCACGGCCTCGCTCGCCTGCCTCTCTCATGGTGCGCGGTGTTTTTCTTCCTCCGGCGCGTAGCGGTCGTTGCCCGCCCCCCCCCCCCGGGCAACGGTGCAGAGCACGCGTAGGAGGAGGAGGGCCTGGACCCCCCCCACATGCTGGTGCTCGCGCGCTTACTCTGGCGATCGCAGCGCCCCCCAGCCCCGACGTGCCCCATCCTGCCCAAGCGTTACCATCGCCCGGGGTCCCATCCCCCCTCCCCCCCGGTAACGGCTTGTACCGGAAATGGCAGCAAACAATTTCATCCAACGTGGACCCCAACCAGTGTGTTCTAGCAGATTTGTGGTGCAATCTACGTGGTACAGTCTTTGTGGTGCTGTACATGTGGTGCAATCTATGTTGCGCAATTTGAGTGTTGCCATTTGCTTGGTGCAAACTTTGTGTGGTGCATTCCATGTGGTGTAATCTATGTGGTGCGATCTAAGCTATAATGTGCAACCTATGTGGGGCAATGTATGTGGTGCAATCTAAGTTGTGCAAACTATGCGGTTCTATACATGTGGTGCAATCTAACTGGTGCAATCTAAGTGGTGCAAGGTATGCAGTGCAACTTGTGTGGTGCAATCTTCGTGGTGTGCAATTTAAGTGGTGCAAGCCAGTGCAAACCGAGACGCAAAGCACTGCCAAGCAACGCAGAGTAATTAATGCAAAGCACGGCGTAGCAATGCAAAGCAATGCGCGGTAATGTAAAGGAGCGCAGTGCAATGCGATTGCAGAGCAGTGCGATTTCAACGCAACGGCGCAAAGCAAAGCGAAGTAACGCAAAGCAGTGCAGAGCAATGCAGAGCAACGCAAAGCAGTGTGAAGCAATGCGGAGCAATGCAAAGCGATTCGAAGCCGTGCGAAGCAGTGGCCAACGGGCGGCGACTTGTGGCGAGGGGCGGCGACGAGGCGGCCACGGGCGGCCGCATGGCGGCCGGAGCGGCCCACAGGCTCAGCTCCTTGGAGGCATGGCGGCCAGAGCGGCCCGCAGGCCCAGCTCCGGAGGAGAGAAGTACGAGAGCCCGCAGTGCAAGCACTGGGTGGGGAGCAAGAGGTAAGAAGCGATGCGAAGCAACGCCAAGCAACGCCAAGCAGTGCAAGGCAACGCGACATGGATGGCAAGGCAATGCAACGCCGGGCAAAGCGGCGCTCAGCAAACGCAAAGGAAGCAACGTAATGCAAATCGGTGTAAAGCAATGCAAGACAATGCGACGAGGCGGCGACCGGGGCGGCGACGGCGACCACAAGGCGGCGGACCCGACGCGCAGGCCCAGACGAAGGGCGGCTACGAGGCGACGGCGGGGCGGCGACGGCGGCCACATAGCAGCCAGACCGCCGCGCAGGCCCAGACGACGGGCGGCGACGAGGCGGCGACGAGGCGGCGAAGGCGGCCACATAGTCGCCAGACCGCCGCGCAGGCCCAGTTCCGTAGAGAGAGAGGTAAGGACCCCTAAGTGCAAGCTCTGTTTGGGGAATATCTGGGGGGAAGTCTTCGACAGTTCTCGGCAGGTTTCGAACGTTTTCGTCAACTTTTGGAATTCGCTCGACTTTTTTCGAGGCCGGGGGGAGAAGCACGCTGACCATGACCAAGATGTCGCTGGAACTTGTCGTCGCCGATCTTGGTCCTCGTTCATGCCAGCCGTCGCCAATTCGCGAGGATGCTCCGCGAGTCGACGGTGACCAAGGTGGACGGTGACCAAGATGGGCACCGATGTTTCGGCGTTCAGTCTTGTTCATGGTCAACGTTTTCTCTAGGCGTTTTCGAAAAAAACGCCCAGGTACAACGACTAGAAGATGGCGCAAGAACGCCCCCCGCGCCCCCAATGTCAATGTTCATCTAAGGGAGCAGGCCGCGGTTTGCAAATGTGGGCGCTTTTTTCACTCGCGCTCCCCTGCGCCGACCACCGCGAACTTCGTATCTGGGGCAGGGGATCGGACCCGCTTCAGGAGGCATGAGAGATGGGCGTTTTTTGTCGAAAACCAGCGTTTTTGGAGGAGGTTCGACAACCTTCATTTTTGTCGAAAACCAGCGTTTTTTTGTCGAAAACCAGCGTTTTTTTTCGAACACCTTTTTTTCTGTACGTTTTCGAGCGTTTTCGCTGGTTGTTCGACAGGTTTCGAGGCCCGGTGGGGTGGTTTCCCTCGGCGGCGTCTCGTCGAGCGCCTTCCGGGGGGAGCGGGGGGGGGCACCGTCCCAAGAGAGGCCGCCGGAGGCCCGAGTTCTGGCGCGAAGGCCCGTGAGCAGGCCGTCTCGATTTCATCGCCGCCGCCGCCGCCGTCTTCGTCGTCATCGTCTTCGTCGTCGTCGTCGTCGTCGTCTTTGCTTTCGTCTTTGGTGGTCTTCGTCTTCGTCTTCGTCTTCGTCTTCGTCATCGTCGTCGTTGCTCTCGTCTTTCGTCTTCGTCTTTCGTCTTCGTCTTCGTCTTCGTCTTCGTCTTCGTCTTCGTCTTCGTCTTCGTCGTCGTCGTCGTCATCGTCGTCGGTCATTCGATCTGCATATCGGTCTGCACATCTTGCCGTCCTTTTCGAATTCCCAGCTCCACTCGCCCCCTCCTTCCGGTCTCCCTCGAGCCGCTGCTGCTGCTGGTGCTCCTCCTCCTCCTCCCTCCTCCTCCTCCTCCTCCTCCTCCTCCTCCTCCTCCTCCTCCTACTCCACCTTCCTCGTCCACCTCCACCTTCCTCCTCCGCCTCCACCTTCCTCCTCCTCCACCTTCCTCCTCCTCCACCTTCCTCCTCCGCCTCCACCTTCCTCCTCCGCCTCCACCTTCCTCCTCCTCCTCCTTCTCCTCCTCCACCTTCCTCCACCTCCACCTTCCTCCTCCTCCTCCTCCTCCCTCCTCCTCCCTCCTTGGCCCCCCCCCCCCTCCTGGTCCCCCGCTCCCCCCTCTGCGCTTCCTCTCCCTCCCGCCTCCGGTGTTGCGGGCGCCCGCCGCGTGCGGCCGCGGCCGCCCGCGCGCGGGGGACAGTGCTGTACCGCGCCCTCCGACGCTCGCTCCTCCTCCCCCTCCCTCCACTCCTCCTCCTCCTCCTCCTCCTCCCTCCTCTCCTCCTCCTCTCCTCTCCTCCTCCTCCTCCTCTCCTCCTCCTCCTCCCCCTCCCTCCCCGTCCACAGCTACAGTCAAAAACCCTGATAAGGACGCGCGACTTTGCTCAGGGTACCCTTGCGTCCTTGCTCTCCCTTGGTCTTGCGTCCCTGAGGTTTTCGTCGTCCGCCGCCCCAGAAATCCCAACTTCGGCTTCCAAGGCTCTTGCGTCCTTACCGCGCGTCTGATTGTACACAATATGAACACTACAGGCCTCGGAAAAAATAGCGAGCAGTCCTGCCACATTCATCTGTCAACACCTCCCCCCCTCCCCCCAATTTTCAGAGCTGGCGGTGGGTCTGAGGAGCTGCACCTCGACCGCAGTCTCCCCCGCGCGTGCCGACTTCGAGTTTGGGGGGGAGGGGGAATGTGCAGCAATTGTTCCCTTCTACCGTACTCCCCTCGCTCCCCTGAGTCTGTCCGGAAGATGTTCGGCCCCCTCCGCGTGCTGTTTTTTTACACATGATTGCCGGGAGTTTGGTTTTCAATGTGTTTTGGACTTTCCGATTCGATTCGCTTCTTCAGGATGTTGCTCTTGCTGCAGCGCTGGCCCCATTCCTGCGTCTCTGCTTGTTCCAAATCGTGCTCGCGCTACAACGCGGGCGCTTTCGGTCCTTCCAAATAGGCCCCAAAATTTAGAAGACGCACCTCCGAAACAACCATTAGAAGGGATTGCACATTCGGTGTCGATTCGTTGATTTTTTGAGCCGCAGAACCCCCCCCACTTTGGGGCATCGTCGTTTTCAGGAAGTATCAAGCGGGAGCCCCGCTTCTGTTTTAAGAAGGCGATGTTAAAAGCAGAGCCAGCGGGTGCTCTCCATCAGCCCCGCCTTGTGTGGAGCTTTCGGGAAGCCCAAGGAGCTAGACATGGAGCCACGGCTCCAGACCGGCCCAGACCTCTCGAAGACGATCCACTTACCCTCCAAGGAACCCGGCGCCATGCCAGGACATGCTGTGCTGTGTTGCATTCTGCGCCGCTGTGCGATGCCATGCTGCGTTGCAATGCTTTGTGATGCGATGCTTCGCTGCGCAATGTCACGCCATTCTATGGCATGCTACGCTCTGCCGTGCTCTTCTACGCCATGCCATGCCGTGCTTTGCCATGCATCGCGTACCCTCTCGCGATCATTGCCTTGCTCAACATCCGACTGTGCGAACAGAGAGGATATTTACGCCATGGCAAGGGATGGGACGGAGGGGTAAGACGTCATATAATATATATATATATATATATATATATATGACGCGAGCGCACCAAGCATGTACCTCCCCTCCCTCCTCCTGTCCTCCCCTCCTCCCCTCCTCCCTTCCTCCTCTCCTCCCCTCCTCCATCCTCCCCCCTCCCGTCCCCCACCCCCAGGACCCGATGGCTGCGGCCGCGCTCCTGCAAGAGGGTGGTGACGGGCGGGAGAGCGGGTGCCCCGAGGAAGCGGCCGAGGATGGCGAGGACGGAGAGGACGAGGAAGAGGACCGGCCAGGGGCTCCAAAGCTCCTCCTCGCTCCTCCCTTTTCTCCCCTGCTCCATTTTCTCCCCTGCTCCCTTCTGCTCTTCCTTCTCCTCTTGCTCCTCCTTCTCCTCATCTTCCTCCTGCTCCTCCTGCTCCTCCTCCTCCTCCTCCTCCTCCCCCTCCTCCTCCTCCTCCTTCTGCTCGGGACTTCGCCTCTCTCGCCTCCTCGTCTGGCTCCATCATTTGGGATTCTCGGGTCCTGTGTCCTCCTCCTGCTCCTCCTTCTCCTCATCTTCCTCCTGCTCCTCCTGCTCCTCCTCCTCCTGCTCCTGATCCCCCCTCCTCCTCCTCTCCTCCTCCTCCTCCTCCTCCTCCTCCTCCTCCTCCTCCTCCTCCTGCTCTTCTTCTCCTCCTCCTCCTCCTCCTCCTCCTCCTCCTCCTCCTCCTCCTCCTCCTCCTCCTCCTCTCTTCTGTCTCCTTCGCCTCCTGCTTCTCTCCTCTTCTCCTCCTCCTGCTCCTGATCCCCCTCCTCCTCCTCCTCCTCCTTCTCGTCCTTTCTCCTACTGCTCCTTCTCCTCTTCCTCCTGTTCCTCCTCCCTCTCCTCCAGCGGGCGCGCGCGGGTCTTTCCCGTCGGGAGCTGGCAGACTCTTTCGCTGCCCCTCAAGCAGGGCGCCCCCCCCCCCCCCTTATGGGGTGGCTGGCTGTAAGAGGCAGGGCTGTCCTTCGTCTCCTCCTCCTCCTCCTCCTCTTGCTCCTCCTCCTCCTCCTCCTTCTCCTCCTGCTCCTCCGCGTGCTCGGGACCTCACCTCTCTCGCCTCCTTGTCTGGCTCCATCATTCGGGATTCTAGGGTCCTCTGTCCTCTTTCTCCTCCTCGTGCTCCTGCTCCTGCTCCTCCTTTTCCTCCTCCTGCTCCTGCTCCTGCTCCTCCTCCTCCTCCTCCTCCTCCTCCTGCTCTTCTCCTCCTCCTTCTCCTCCTCGTGCTCCTCCTCCTGCTCCTCCTTCTTCTCCTCCTGCTCCTGCTCCTTCTTCTCCTCCTGCTCCTCCTCCCCCTGCTCCACCTCCTGCTCCCCCTCCTCCTTTTCCTCCTCCTCCTCCTACTCCTTCTCGGAATTCAGAGGGAGGCCGTCAGAAACGTAGAGGGAGCCGTGCAGAAAATTCACGGGGATCCACCAGACGCCTCAAGTTAGCTTCTCGGCGCAAGAGGAAGAGGGAGCCTCCCAGAAGGCTGTTTCCGAGACGCACGCTAACATCGGAAGCAGACCACTGCGAAATTAGCTGGAGCACCCCGAGAATCGAGCACCCCCCGACCGAATGCCAATAACCTCCTTCGTTGACGAGTAAGATGGGCCTCTCAAACTTCCCTCGCTGACAAAATGAGATGGCCCCCTCAGATGAGACTGCGTAGAGTGCCCTCCAGGGAGCCTCCCAAACTCCGTGTGGACAGAAAGATAGGGGTGGGCGGGGGCGGCCGCGCGGGCGGCGGCACCCTCCTGTTTTGCATTGCATTGCACACAAACACAATTGATGGTCGACTCCCAGGGAAATATTCGAACATATGGGAAGTGGGGGGGAAGACGAAACTCAAGACAACATGGCAAGCTTGGGGGAATCCTGGGGATTTGTGTGCATTTATATATATATATATATATATATATATATGTGTGTGTGTGTGTGTGTCCCGGGGCCTCTTCATTCTTACAGGACAGGCCGTGCTGGACATCAAAACGCCACGTGTCACGTGAGATAGGAACGCGGCGCGCGAAGGGCTCGCCCGAGGTGCCCGGCTTTACATTTGCGACCTCCCAGCCCCGACGGCAGACGACCCGCCACACACGATGGGCTCACAGACCAAGCCAGCGCCTCCGCGCACTCGGCGGCGTCCCTCGAAGAACAAAAAACGACATAAACATGAACTTTCTGAGGTCCGCGCGGATTTCTTGGATCCGCGCTGGGCCCCTCCGGCGCCGCCCCTGGCGCGCTCCGCTCGCCAGGGAGGGGGGTCTGGCGCAGATCCAAGAAATCCGCGCGGAGCGCCAACAGTGTATGTATCCGTCATTTTTTGTTTTTTTTTGTTTTGTTTTTGTTTTTTTGTTATTCTTCTTCTTGAAGTCCCCCCCTCGCACTCTTGTGTTCGCAATCAGCCGCATGACAAGCTGGAAGTCCAAGCGGCGCGCGCCACGGGCCCTCTTCGGCTCCCAGCTCAGCATGACGTCTCCGTTCTGACGGTGAAAGGCGCGCCAGCTATCGTGGGGGCATCACCGCCGTGCGCGCGGCAGTGCCCTCCCTCGTTTGCCTGGGCCAGCGCGTAGGACAAGCATTATGAGTTGGAGGCCCAAGAATCGCGGACCAGGGGCTCGCTCGGACCCCCAGCACAGAACGGGCGCTCCTCCACTCTGCAAGGGTAACAACCGCCATTCGTGACGGGGTTGTAGGACGAGCCAGCTCCGCCGCGCGCGCGGTGGCGCCCTCACTTGCGCTCCTGGTTTGTGCCGAAGAAGCAGCGTGTAGAGCTGGAGATCGAGGTGGTGTGCTTCAGC